GGCTCTCACCTGTCTCCGAGACCTGGCAGGTCGAGCTGCATCCTGCAGACACCTTGGCAAACCGCAGGTCAGCGTAAACCACGCTCTGCGCCATGCAGCTCTCTGTGCTCTGGACCCCACCGGCTACAATCTTGCCTGTCCTCGCTGCTCCGTGCTCTCCCATGGTCACACCATTTCCCTGGGGTGAAAAAGAGAAGTGAGGCTGATTTTTGCAGAAGCAGAAGTTTGCTTAGAGCTGCATCCGATGGGACCAGTGAGGCATGGCCATGGTTATGCGCCGCCTCTCATTGGCCATGGCACCACCAGCTTATCTCCTCCCACATCCCCAAAAATAGTTACAGCCCTCTGTGCTCACAGCTGGGTTGGATTTTCGCATGCCAGAGCTCCGGAGTTGGGCTGAGCCATGGGCAGAGAAGCACAGCCTAATGGGGCAAGGACAAACCCAAATTCCTTGGTCGAGGGTAGGGTGGGACCTACTGCAATGCCATAACGTATTTCTCTGAGGTTGGCCCCCTGAAGGATGGAGATGGTCCTCTTGCTGCATCTTGCTCTAGGGTTTGTGGGAAAGCATAGGTACAGTGAGATACAGGAAATATCACTGGAAAATAAGAAGCACATCTTTACTGCGAGGGTGACTGAACAGGTTGCCCAGACAGGTAGTAGATTCTCCATCCCTGAAGATATTCAAGAGTTGTTTGGAGAGGGTCTTTGGCAACTAGTTCTGGGTAACCCTGCTTGAGCAGGTAGCCCGGAAGGAGGAGATTATTCACAGAAGTTCCTACCAAGTCTACAGTTGCTTCCTTGACTATCCATCAGCTCCAGCCTGTCATGGTGTAGAGGGCATCTCATTTCCAGGTGTAGGACTCAGCCTTTACCTTGGTTAGACAGATGCCCTATTTCTCCAGGTCCTGTTGAACGGCAGTCCTGCTCTTCAATGTGCTCAACCACTTCCCCAGCTTGATATAACTCATCAAGTTGTTGAGGGCCTTCCCCATCCTGCATTCAGGGTCCCAATGAAGAATTTAAGGAATACTGGCCCTGGGATCAACTCCAGAGGGACATCACTAGTGACAGTTCACCAGATGGACGAGGTGCCACTGATAACAATCTGTGTAGCTCTCCTGCCCAACCATGTTTCCACCCACCTTTCTCTCCCCTCTTTCTGGCCAGATCTCCCCATTCTGCCAGTGAGGACACTACAAGAACCATGTCCAAAGTCTTGCAGTTGTCATAATGGAGGACACCCATACCTCTCCTCTAGTCCTTGATCCAGTCCTCCCAAGGAAGCCAGCAGTCAGGTTGGGCAGGTATCACTTGCCCTAGTAAAACCCTCTTGCCTCTCCCAAAGTGCTACCATGTCCTCTAAGTGCCTGCAGTAGACATCACAGAATCACAGAACAGTTGGTCAGCCTGTTCCAGGGCTCTGTCACCAGGAGGATGAGTTCCATCTTATTCCTGGGACTGAGTGGAAGCTGCTCAATGTGAAGTTTTCCAGCTCTCGTCGTGCTCGTTAAAGCTGGCTGTAATGCTTTCCTTCCTCCAGTCAAGAAAGACTTGCACTGACCTTGCAGAGATGCTAGAGGGCAGCCTCACAATACCATGGTCCTGTTCCACCTGTGTCCTTGTACATCTATGCTGTCCCAAAAAGCACCTACCTCAAGCTTAGCTAAGTGAGACCCCAGAGGGCTGGAGGTCACGGTGGATGAGGAGATGCTGTGAGTGGTGAGACTGTGCAGTTTAGGGAAGGAAAGGCAAAGGGGTTCTTACTGCTGATGGCTGCCTAATGAGACTTTGGAGAAACTCCAGATTTGGGGGTCTTCTAGGACAGGAAGAAGCCAAGGGGTAACAACAGATTTTGGAACATGGGACATTCTCATTAGATATGAGGCAAATAGAGAGCAAGGCCCAGGGTGGGGAGGAGGTGAAAGGAAAACTACATCCTTGGGCATCTCCAGGTTTTGATCTATACAGTCCCAGAGCAATACACTCCTGCATCGCAATCAGTCCTGCTCTACTGCTTTCTCCCATGATCAATGAGTTTGGGTTTGTGCTTGCCCCATTGGGCCATTTAGCTCTGCTCAGGGCTCAGCCCAATGCCCCAACCACAGGCCATGATACTTCAACCTTCTGTGGTCCCATGACCTCTTTTGGGGCTGTGGTGGAGCAGATGAGGTGGTGGTGCTAGAGCCAATGGGCGGGCACTCATAAGAATGGCCGTGCCTCACTGGTCCCATCTGGTGCTGACCTGATCAAACTTCTGCTTCTACAGAAACCAACCTCACTTCTCCTTTACACCCCGGAGAGACGGTGGGACCGCAGGGGAGCAAGCCCCAGCAAGGCAGGCTTGGAGCCGGTGCGGTCCAGGGCATTGCCAGCTCCTGTCCACATGGCCCAGAGCATGGTTTATGCTGACCTGAGGTTTGCCAAGGTGCCCACAGGACGCAGCACGGCCTGCCAGGCCCTGGAGGCAGGTGAGAGCCCCTGCGGGCCCTGGCCTGACCAGCCCAGGCCCAGCCCTCACAGACTCACCCGCTATCGCTTCCCTTCCTCCAACAGCCTTGGGCATGGACGAGGCGGAGAGCCCCTACGAGAACATGCAGCAGGGACAGGCGCCCACAGGGCAGGACGAGCAGGGGCCCCAGCCCAGCCCAGGTGAGCACCCAGCGGAGCCGGGGCACCCGGGGAGACATGGTGTGGAGAATGGGAATGCATCAGGGAGCGCTTTCTCCTATCCTTGAAGAGAAGAAGTGCCCATGTCTTCCATGTGTGCCGTTGTCCTGCCACTCTGCTGCCTGCACCAGCTATGGGGCAGGAGGGTGGGCGGCTGCATGGGCTTTCCAGGCTCATGGCCCTCTGCGGTGACGGCGGAGGTGGCAGCAGGTGATGGTGGCAGCTGGTTGTGTCTTGCAGGGCCTTGGTGCCGGCTGCGGTCCATCCCCGTGGGGCTGCTAGCAGCGTGCTGCTGGCCATTGCTGCCGCCCTGGGCGGTTGCTGTGAGTAGGGGCGGCTCTGCGCACGGCCGGCGATGCGGCGCGGGCGGGCAGCGTCAAGGGAGGATGGGAGCTTTGGTGGGGTCCCATGGGTGAATATCTGGGCAGTCAGATTCCCATTCACTCTGGTCGGAGCAAGCGCTGGTGTCTGCCCTGTGCTGGCCTCTGTCTCCTGCCCATCATAGGTATCTCCTTTGCTTTCCACTGCGCAGATTCCCCAGCTGTGTCCTTTCTGCTCTTGCCCTCCCCTGCCAAAGCCAGCCTGCAGGCTCTGCCTTCTCTGTCCTCCAGCCTTGCCTTTCTGCATCCCCACTGTGCCCAGCTTTGCACCACTCCTCCCTACCCTGCCCCATGTTGCTCTGTTCCATCCCATCTTGTCCTGCTCTCCCCTGCCCTCCCCCTGACCAGATTCTTCCCTGCTTTCCCTTTCTCACGCTTCCCACCCTCCATGGTCACCTCCTTGCCTTTTCCTGCCATGCCCAGCGTGGCCATGCACATGATGCACCCCGTGTGAGGGTAATGCCAGTG